CCAAGAGCAGGGATTTACAAATAACGTATGAAACTGGAACACTCATTTAGAACATTTAAAGCCTGAGATGATGAAATTATTTTTAATTACAAAATTATACATATGTCTGAATGCAGAATTTACCGCTCTTTTTGATCCCGGATTCAAAAACAGTTGGTCCCATTAAGGACAATATTTTGACCTTCAAATGACCCCTAATCTTGGTTCCAAGGTTACTTTCAAGGTCACCACCAGGTAGCCAACTCGAAATACTGAAACTTATGTACGTAACATTTTTCCAAACAATGCAATCCCGCCGAGATATTTTGTCGTAACGGACGTCTGGAACTTTCACTTTAAAATGACCTTGACGTTGAACTGTAGATTATTGTCAAGGTCATATTCGGACGTGAAATTTTCCGCTCTTTCCAAATCTGCGATAAAAAATAGTGGTTCCCATTTAAAAAAATAAACTTGACCTTTAAATGACCTTCACATTCACAATCGAGGTCAAATTCAATATAGCCATTAAATAGCCAGGGAAAAATACTAAAACTTATATCTGAAACTTTTTTTCAGAAAATGCATTCCCTTCAAGATAATCCGGTGGGGAAGTTAAAATGGGTCACCCGTATATATAAAATATTTTCAACGATTTATACACACACGCACGCACGCACGCACGCGCACACACACACACACACACACAATATTTTATATATATATATATTACATTGATATATAATACATTAGGGTGTCCGTTATTTTGGCGATTTTCGAAATTTGTACGGGACCCCCCCCCCCTAACTTTTTAGTAAAAAAAAAAAAAAAATTTTGGCGCTAATAAAAAGTTCCTACGATGATTCTAAGTGGAGGCTCATTGATGTTGATAATTAACCCGTAAATCTTATGGGAAAAAACATTTTTTTAGTATTTCTTCGGGCATTTCCACCGCAGTCAGTCTAAAAATCCAGCAAGTGAGATATCTTTTCTTGAATGTTTTCCACGTGAAATGAACCTAGGCTGAACAAAATCGATCAATTTCCGGCCGAGTTATTCCAATTTGAACTTCAATAATTTTTCACCCAAAAAATGAGAAGAGCCTAAAATCTCTCAATAAAATTACAGTAGCTCTGTTAGAATGCATTTTAAAATCATGAACCATTGAATTTCACATTCCTTATAGTTTTGCGATTAAAATGACCACCTTACAAGTTAAAAACGATAATTTGTAGCCGAATTACCGCAGTTTTTATGAAGAAGTTTTTTTTTACTAAAATCAGGTGAAGGAAATGAAGGTTTAGTTTATTCGCTATAACTCGAGAGAAAAAAATCGTAAGTTATTGCACGAAATACGATCATATTCCTTACGTTTTTTCCTTTCGAAAGCCATACCTGTCGTCATTGAAAAAAAATTTCTGGACGCCATACGGTCCCTTTAATATTGCTCTTCTTCGAACGCGAGAAATCTGCAAGCTGATAAATATCTTTCTTATTAATTGTCCCGTGCACTTTTCGTTACCTGCAATTTTTTTTATTTCATGTTGTTTGTGATATTAATTCTTTGATATGACAAAAAATTTCGAAATTGAAAATTGTGAAACCTCCATTATCCCCTCTTGGTGCATATTCTACTTTTATTAAATTTCTGTAAGTTCATAATTTATTTTCCAATTCAACGGGAGTAAAATACAAATGTTCACAAAAAAAATTATTGAAGTTCAAAGTGAAATAACTCGGCCGGAAATTGATCGATTTTGTTCCGCCTAGATTCATTTCACGTGGAAAACATTCAAGAAAAGATATCTCACTTGCTGGATTTTTAGACTGACTGCGGTGGAAATGCCCGAAGAAATACTAAAAAAATGTTTTTTCCCATAAGATTTACGGGTTAATTTTCAACATCGATGAGCCTCCACTTAGAATCATCGTAGGAACTTTTTATTAGCGCCAAAATTTTTGTTATTTTTTTACTAAAAAGTTAGGGTGGGGTCCCGTACAAATTTCGAAAATCGCCAAAATAACGGACACCCTAGTGTACATATCTCGGCTATTATTCGAAAATAACATTTGAAGATTCAAATATGGCTCTATTATAAATTACTTCATGACATCTTAATACAGCCTTAAATAATACATAATAATAATAATAATAATAATAATTGCTTTCGTCACTTACGTAATAAATGATTAAAAGGATTGTCTCTGATGCCATCGCACCATTTAAAAATGTAGATACATATGAATACAATACGTTTTGCGAGATGAGAGTTCTAATTCTAAATATCACACAATTGCGTATGATAAATATCATTAAACTTAAAGAATAACTTACTGATTATGTGAATACATAACTCTCTCAAATGTTGACAAACTGATCTCTATTTTGAACAGTGATTAAAAATAAAATAAAATATTCGATTTAAGGTATATTAAAATTCTTTATCCTTTAAGTCTTAAGATGAAGAATACGATAAAAAAATCTATCAAAAATATTTATTTACATGTGTTAGTTTTATTAAAGGGTTAGTACACTCCAGAATTTTTAAAAAATCGAAAATTTGGTTATTGACTTAAAAAATCCTTTGAACCCTCTAGAATAAAAGGGAAAAGGTCTCATACCCGCTAGAATTTTTTTTCATTGAATTGTCGAAAACAAAGAAAGACCGGCGATACCGAATCGTCATATGTTTGAGAGTGAAACGGCTTTGACAAGTGCTTCTGCGAAGAAACTAAGAACGGGCTAAGAATGTGAAGAAGAAGATTCCTTTTATGAGGCAGAAATGGCAGATTAAGGGTAAGATGCTTAAATAAATTTTATCACTGAAAAAACTAGTACCAAAACTTTAAACGCGAAACTATGTTTTTCAAGACGGTGTATACGATTTCTCGGGATCTATTTAACGAATCGACTTGAAATTTGGTACACATATACTAAAGACTAGTGTCTTTCGGCTAACGGACGGTTTTTTCAATATTTTGTTTTGTTCAAAAGTTATTAATAATAATAACTTATTTTTTTTGACAAAAAATGAAACTAAAAATTCAGGAATTTTTTTCTCGGCGCCAAAAATTTAAAAAAAAAAAAGGCTCCGTTAGCCGATAGCCAGTATATCATAGATAATCACAAATTTTTTATTTTTGTTCCAGACTACTGGTTTTTGCCAAACCATATACACTACCAGGCCACCTCGAAAAATCATGGTTACGCGCGAAAAGTTGTTTGTCTTAGCGTAAAGTATTACGTCTTGTACTCCGAGTGCGGGAATTTTGAATCACCCTGTATAGTTTATTAATAATTAAAAAAGAGTCTCATAAGGTTTTCTCATAAAATCGAAAACTCAAGATTATCGAACGCTAACTATGTGCAAGAATAAAGTAAGAAATTAATTGACTTATGAGCATATCATTCGGTATAAGTATAATAATTTGTTACGCACTCATCTCTTATTAAACACATAGCGTTCCTACTTCAACTTAAGTAAACGTAATAAACAACGATTATCGATCTTAATCGCAGCCACGATAAACTTAAGTTTTCGGTTCTAAATCATCTAAGCGGCGAAATGATTTATGAACTTTTCGTACGGTTTATAAGTGTTATACATCCCGGAATTGTATACGATTTTGTTACGACCACGCAATAAAATAGTATATTGCGCGAATGCACCGATTAATACTGTAGATACTGTGTGGATATTGTAGATATATGCGTGTACAGTGCCGTGATTTATGTGCCATTGCGATATCAAATTATCAATTGATATTTGTAATGAGATTTAAAAAATTATGATTCATACAAAACTCTATGATAATGCATATAGAAATACTACCTATTTTATAATAACGTATTAAATGGCAACTATTAAAATTACTATAAAAGTATCTCATGCTTTTGCTGTAATATATGATATTTATCTCTATACTTTACCTACTACAAAATGAACTACCATATATTACTGTATTATAAAATAAAGGCTAATGTGAGCCAGATGCGAAAAGGCAAATTTTTTCTATAATTATAGAAAAAGAAAATTAAATATTAAAATGTAAACTTTATCACATTGAATCAATATCCGCTCAAATAAATTTCAAAAACTTTATTATTTATTTAAAATTTCTAGTAAAATATAGACAGCTGCCTGAGAAGAAAAGGAACGAAGTAAAAAGAATTTAGTTTAATACGTATGAAAATAATTATAATAAATATACGTATATCACAGAGGAAAATTAGATTATCTGATCAATCATCGTTATCATTGCAGCATCGTCTAGGAGATCACAAACTTCAATATCCTAAAATTCTAAATTAGCAAATTTAATTGTAACCTTTCCAATTAAAAAAAAAAGAAAATTATGTAACCGAATCAAATCTAGATTTTTTAATATCTCTAAATATATCTCCAATAAATGAAAACTAAATGTAACAAGTAGGAGTTAATTTTTATCTATTGTATCATTAGAAGATTGAAAAAAGATGAAGTCTATCTTCAAAATGCAGTTGTTACGAGGAGAATAACCGGTCAATTTTTCCCCAAATGTAAAGATCAACAACATACCTTATCGAGAAGGTGGAGCTACAAGAGTCGATTTCTCTCTCTTTCTATCGATTCTCTTCTTGTAGGCGGGCGACATACCTACTGTTCCGCGACATTCTCGTTGGACACCATTATGTTGGGTGCCGGATGTAGATTGGCCGTTCGATGCAGCACGGTGAGAGGCGGAGCTAGAGATACAGGCAGTTCCCCACCAAACCGAGTTGCCCCGTTGGATTTACTTCAACTAGTAAACGCTGGAGTTACGTTGTCAGTTCTATATCGATATTGGACAAAACGCGTTCGGTCGGGAACTAGCAATAACATTTATACGTTTCAACTGTGCCGGTTTCATTGTTTGTGTCACCCAGTGTCGTGAATATACATCGTAACAACTCACGTTAATCTGCAATTTTTGTGATTTTAATTATCTGTGTTTAAAGAAACAGACAGTTTGTTTATTGTGCAAGTTAAGTCCAATTCGAAATGCCATCGTGCCGTGAAGACGTCGTCTCTGGAGAACCGAATACCATATCGAACATCATCAATACGATTCATTACAACCAGACGATCCCATACCGCCAACAGCAGCACCAGGTCGCTGATAACTCACAGCAACATCAACCGATAATGCAACAAACACATCAGCAAACGCCGACGCAACAGGTCCAACCACATTCTGCGGTTGCGGCTCCCATTGAGGGGACCCAATACTGGTATGGCTATCCATCGAGAGCCATACCCGCGACACCGGCGTTACATCCTCAGCATCAGCCGAGTTCGATCCCTCAGTTTTTCAACCACGCCGACGTGATGTCCGGATGGCACTACACAACTCAGTACTCGCCGTATATACAGTATCAATCGCAACACCTACATTTTCAAACGCAATCGCAGTCGCAACAGCATCAAACGCAAGAACTGGAACACCATTCGCCGTCTGAGCAACGCATTCAGTCGCACTTGTCGCAGCCGCATCTGCAACAGAACTCGCCGCCTGAGCAACTCTATCAGCACCCGTCTCCACAGCAACATCTTCATAGTTCGCCGCCACAACAAGTCTGTCCACAGCATCCGTCACCGCATCAACACTTACAAAATTCGCCGCCTCAACAACTTTGTCAGCAACTTACCACCTCGTCGCCGCAATTACAACAGAATTCTCCGTCTCAGCAACATAATCAGTCCATCACCACAAATCCATTACCGCAGCAGCGCATTCAGCAACGGTTAGCAAAACACCAGTTGCAAGGAAGTTCACCGCCGCAGTTCTTCCAACAAAATTCACCGCCGCAATATCTTCAACCGCAAATACCATCGAGGGAACAGGAGTACGAAATTTCGTACAGACGGGTGCTGAAATGGGGCATTAGAAATATCGATATGGCATTCCGCAATCAATATCCATCAGCGACCGCGAGAATAAATGGCAATATAGACGGCAACATGAACGGCAGTTTAAATGGCAGTTTGAGCGGCAGTATGAACGGCAGCAATAACAGTAACAATAGCACTTCTCCTACAACGCCGCCTAATTTTCATACTCTATCGTACAACGACTTGTCTTGCACTTCTCGCAACATAACTTCAATGAATTGCAAAATATTTGCTCGGACATTTATAGATACCCTGTATATATACGTCAGCTACCAAATAAATAAAACAATGAGAGAAAGAGAAAGACAGCATATATTTTTATTAATAAAAAATATTCAAACTTCATCATATAAAACGCAAAAAAAGCAGTGGTAAAATTAATTAAGAAAACAACAAATAGATTATTATATAAATTTCATGTTTTTGATATTTATTTTTGAATTACCATAATCAGGAGACGCGGTAGTATCTTCGGTCATGTTCAATAACTAAAAGATACTATAAGTCTCTTATCCCGAACCACTGAAATCCATTTTTCGGGGGTACATAACTACTAAAATATAAAAAATTTTGTATCGCACGTAATATATTCTGAAAGGCAGCATCGCCACGAGTAATTTAAGTTAAAAATATTTAAAATCGGTCAAGAATCGTTCTGGACATATAAGCGTTCGAAAAGTGATGATATTAATGAAAAATGAAGTAACGTCTCTTTCTCTTTCTCCTTTTCTGTCCGCAGTCATGTGCACCTCTTTCCTCTCTCACCTTTCACTCATATAATATCACTAACAGATTTTAAATTCTTGTATGAATTTAAAAAGTATGAGAGGAGAAAAATATAAAATAGTACGCTATAATATACATTTATACGTATAGACATAAAATCTGAATAATAATTATAATATACATATATTAAAACATATGTATAATAAATAAAAATATGTTATACATACTATATTAAAACATATGTCTAATAAATAATAATATAATATGTTATACGTTAATATTATTTGATCTACTATCTATTATATACAAGAAAACTCTATAAGAAGACCGGTCATTCTTTATCTCCTAATTAAGCGTATTTATGTAATTGTATTGAATTATTATTATCTGATTAGCTTCTTTCGAGTTTTAATATTCAACTATCACAAATTCGCTCATTTCAAATTGCTAATCTAATAAATCTGATCTAAATAGTTATATTATAAATAATCCAACTAATATAAATACTCATATAATTTGCTTTGCTATAAATACTTAATCATAGATAAATATAATTTTTATTTTTATTATTATAAAGCTTTCTTATTATATCGTGATATAAAACAAAAGTGTTCAATTGTAAAGACTGTTCGTATACATATACATACATACAATACTAATACGTAACATAAGTATGCAGTTCTATATCTACATACTATATGTATGTAGGTAAGTACATATACGTACTGATTTCCAACTTGAAATAAATAATATGTCTTTCATGATTTTAATTTTTATCAAAAATATGTATTTATAATAAGAAATATTTCTGTATTCCTGACTATGTAGAGCTTTTTCTTTATCATTCCGTTACTTATCTCAATTATTGAAATCACTTGCTCTTCCTTTTGCAATCTTGCTCCAACGAATTTAGGAAGACAACTATAGTCCAGGGAAATTGTCGAAAAAACAGCGTTTACGTGCCAAACTTGCCACCTGAACTATGGGATATGGAAAAAATCGGAAAAAATCTGGGGAATTCAATGAAATAAAATTAAACAGCTGGTTTTGCTGGGAAGTTATTCAAAATGGCACCCAAAGTTGACAAAAAACAGTTTTTTTGCAGTTTAAAATAAAAGTATGCATTTTATCAAAAAATGTTTCCTACAAAAATTGTAGATCTTTTAAAAACCTACAAAAGTTGTTGTATTGAATATGTAAATTAGTGCAAAAATGACTTAGTTATCGCGAAAAAATGGCTTTAAATCGCTGTTTTTTAAATTGCCTGTATCTTTTTGAATAAAACAGATATCCTGCTGAAACTTTCAAAAAATATAGCGCTCAATGAGCAGAAAATTTTCGTTTTTTATTTGTATCAAAATGTGGTATAGGTGTCGCATAAAACGGTTTTTTCGAAAAAAAATCACTTTCGTAGAACGCGATTTAAACAGGTTCTGTAGCACTTACAGACAAAAATCAAAGCTGAAAATTTTCTTAAAGAGTTGTACTACCACGTGAAATACGTGCGCGCACCGTTAATTAATTAATTAATGGCCAAAAATAACCTCAAAAAAGGAACAAAAATTTTGACCCTAAAAATGTCGATTATCTCCTTCGTTGAAATTGATACCATAATGGCATGTTTACCAATCGATAGCGGCAATTTTTCTACGAATTTTGAAAAAAAAA